AAGAGATGACATCTTTAACAATGGAATAAAAATTGTTACCAACTAAGGATAAAATATCTGTTACTTCGTATGCAGTATATTATGTATCAGGTATAGATAGAGTGAACCGCAATAAACCTATTATGAATACTTGTTGATTTAAAGAAATAGCAAAATAACACAGTACTTTCAAATGGTGTGCTCTCTATTTTTGATTTATATTTTTTCAAAGAAAGTTGACATTCGCAAACGCAAGCTTAGATTGGTAGAAGAGAAATACATATTGGAGAGAGGTGTTAGTAGAAATCGTTTGGGAATTATTACAGGTCGAGATTACAAAAATGATGAGTGAATTACAAAAAATTGAGTTTCTAAATTAAACTCCCAATATATTTTATCCGTTAATTTTGCGGCGAAGAAAATAAACTAGCCACCATTCCAGTGTGTCGACCGCAGAGTAATTTGTAAAAACATAAAAAATTTGCAGATTTATATATCCAGCTCTAATATGAATCAATATGCATGCACTGCATTTTATTGGTTTTCAAATGGTCGAGGAATATACTAATGACCTACAAAACGCTAAGTCATTCAGCTCATTATATATAGCAATCTCAAAAATGTAATAACTGATTTTATAATTAAAAATTAGTATATTCCACACTTTTGGTGATAAATTTTCTGAATTTTGTAACGGCGAATCATATTATTATGACACCATAGAAGAGCAGAAAATTTTTTCCAGTTCTTCTACATGTTTTTCTAATCCCACCGTCCCACATTTTATAATGAAAAATTAGTATATTCCACACTTTTGGTAATCAATTTTCTGAATTTTGTTACGGCGAATCATATTGTAATGACATTATAGAAGAGCAGAACAAATTTTCCAGTTCTTCTACATTTTTTCTAATCCCACTGTTCTACTTTTTTTTTGATGAAATCCATACCGCGTGGTACTATCCCCCGAACGGGTTTGTACTTTTTTCGCGAAAGCGATTTACCCGAGAAAAGCAATATCCCCTTTTTATTGAAGTGAAAATAAAACTAGTTTGCATCACCCGCGATGGAAAATATATAAATTTGACAGGCGCTGCCATTTTACTAAGCACTTGATTTAAGACGTTTCGTTTAACGTTAGAGGATAAAAGTTACTGGAAGTAGATATAGGTATAGTAGGCAAAGTTGGAAATTTCAAAAAATAATGTCAGAACTACAATTGGAAGAGATTTTGAAAATAATTCCAGATTCGTCTATAAAGCATTAATCTCAATTAGGATTTTTGTGAATTTTAACTTTTCAGTGACCGCCTTCAACTTGAAGTATTACGACCATCATTAGATCAAATCTATAATAAATAATAGCAAAATTGTTTCATGCATATCATCTTGTTACTATGAAATATGGTAAACTCTATCGATTTTAATGAGTTTACGTCGTGACATCTACGAGGTTGAAAATTTAGATCCAGGGCAAAGGGTAATTTCAGAAATGTTAAAATGGTGATACCTGATATTTAGACAGCAGTCAGGCGTGACGCTAGAAATAAGCTCGAACCTATTATGACACTTTAAATTATTTGTACATGGGAGCGTACGTTTCTGCAAAGTGAACGTTATATCAAAATGCAGTCTATCTTATTTTATTTTTATCAGTATTACAAACACGACAATGTACAACAATATTATTACTATAAAAAGGGAAACAGTTTTTTAGACCAGAAATGATATATTGCTCACGAGGCCTCCTATTTGGATATTGGCATGAAAATATATTTGTCCAATCTAATTATCTCATCTCAATTATTAAACTGCAAAACAATGTGATAGACTAGGCCTAGCCATGACACTCAAGTACCACAGGTATAATGTTAGGAGGGACTAGGCCTAGGGTTTTAGCGTGACAATGCGAAATACGGCGTTAATGACGGGACATTGTTTTGATCGTGGCTTTGTCTATGTAATCTCCGTAAACGAGTTTTTACTAGCTTTTGACTTGAATATCTCAGTAACTGTAGACTATTATAATATTTGCCCAAACTGTCTGGCATTTATCTTTGATAAGATCGAATTATGAATGTATTACAAGTAGTCGTACAACAATATTATTTATTGTGTATATTGGGTGAATATGTTCTTACTTTTTACTAGTAGCTGTGAAATTCGAAAAGAGTGTATTGTTCTGTGCTATATTTAGCAACAAAACGCGATTATGGATAGCTTGCAAAAATGAAATTACTGAATAAGGTTTGAGGCGGCCACAAAATTGGGTTTAAAATGCACTTTTAGATAATCAGGTACTAGGTCGGATTACCTTCGAGGTTGCCGTAGACCATTTTTTTAAAACTTTGATCGTTGATCAATACAACATAAACGGTTTATATTGTATCTCCAACAAGGTAATTCTAGATTGAAAAGCTTTCTTATGATGTACATTATTAATTTTTACGTTACCAATTTCTTCAATTTTCAGATACACTGTCATTCTGCCCAATAAAATACCATAAATTTGTAATATAAAAATGAATGTTGCTATTTATTTCAAAATAGCTGTGATTGTTGCAAGTATGGACTTGGTTTATCCAGCACCATCGCAATTTCCAAAAGAGAAAGCAAAAGATGATTTTGGCTCTGAAAATTTGAGAAGTACATTACCCGAAAAAATCCCTTTTCAAGAGCCTGAAATTTCCAATGAACAAGACAGAAACAGATGGATTAATTTATTACGAAGTAAACCAAATCTACTTCATCAACAAAATCGAAGATCCATAGCAGGAAATAAGAACGAAACTGACGATGTCGACGAAAAAATTCCACGATTTGAATATTCTCGTCAAGCATTTGGAATTGACGTAAGTTTGGACGTATAAAATTTGAAATAGTTTTTTTGTGATATTTTATTTATAGAGTTCACAACAAAGCAGCAGTTGGTATAAAGTCTTACTGGAGTATATTTAAAATACTTAACTTCTCACTTCAATGCGCCTCATCAGTATTAGATATATATTAAAAAACAAAAGACTGTCAAAATTGCGCCATTGTCAGGCACATGACACAGATAATCACTGGTAGAATCCGCAATTCCTCAGTAAAAAAACACTGAAATCAGGACGTCAAATAAAAGAGAAAACATATTCATTTTGTTGATTCGAAATATTGTTCTAACTAGAATTTCCAATCAAGTCTATAAATTTTTTTTTCTCAATTAAACTCAATTTTAAAATTGATTTTCCAAAACTGGAACGAGAGAAAAATGGCGACCATGAGTTTCGCCATTTTGTTCATAAATTTTTACCCAGTTTTTAATACAATTCCTGGATAAAAAAAAGTCATTTTGATTTAAATTTCATATTTAGAAGAAGCACGAGGCATAATTACTATTTTATCAATCAATTTAGTATAAACAAAAATTATTACAGCACAAAACCTTTTTCTTACCAAGCAATTTTCATACTTTCGTGCTGTGGTTTGAAAACCGATAGAATTTTATTGAAGCAATCCATTTGGGTGTCTTCAAACACATACCTGTTTCATATCACAGACGTCGATATACACTGTGTTAATTGTGAATTGTTTTATTACAGCCATGCCCTACAGTAGAAAGAACGGATAAGTTGTACACAGCATTCCGTTCCTCAACTGGAAGTCGCACAATTTCAATTAGACCGTTCGTTGCAACAAGAAGAATATGTTCATCGTCTACGCCCATAACCACCGTCAATGAGGGAAATTCATATTGTGCTCCAGTTAGAACACGACATCGAGTGCCAACAACAAATGGGAATTTTGTTCACGGACATTTTGAACATGAATGCAAACTGTTTATCAGAACAAAAGGACTCATGATGCAAAGACAGGTTGGAGACAAAGAAAATGAAAGTTCGACCCGCCCTTTTTTGGGTAATATGACCTGTACATCAGATATCATTGTGATATCATCTCTTGCGTTTTCAGCACTGTGTTTGCTGAGTTGCTTCTACAGGAATAAGCCAGGAAAAACACAGTCCTGAGAAAATTGAAGAATGTTTTTTATTTGTTACAAAAAATAATCTTCGTCGATTTTAAAGTGATGGAATTCCGAAATGGATGCCGATCTCATTGAATCAAATACCATCGCATCTCATGACATGATGCAATTTGATTTGATCGAAACACTAGTAAAAGCAACAATGAATGAATATTTAACAAATATTTCGATGAAAAAAAAAAATGATATAATCAAGATTTTGGGTATTTGAGCTTTTCTGGCAATTTAATTTATAATACCATTATTACTACAGGCTTGTTTTCGCAAATTTTAGAAAATGGGAAAAATCCAAAGGTGTTTAGAAAATATTATTGCTTCAATCTTGCATTACTGTTAAATGTCATAAGCTTGTTTCATTGCAATAAGAATTTTTTATTTCTAAGGAAGATTTGTATCAAAACTTATGCACATACAATCCCTTCTCACACATTTATATTCGGTACAATGTATGCAGTACTGACCCGGTTTATAGCCAGGGCAATCGAGTTTTCAATAGGACACGCCATCCTTCCTATCCAACATAATTCGTTAGCAGTTTTTTTTATGTCTACTTAAGTAGAAATTAGTTGAAAATTGCTTTATGTATTTATAAAGATACATATTTGTGAGTGCACTCAATTTTTTAAACTGAACTTTTCACAAACACCAAAACTTTAGTCAGAAGCCAGCCAAATTTGCGCCAGAATCGTCCTGGGCATCTCTATATGACTCAACATTGCAAATAATTTTATTTTTATTAATATATATCATGCTTTCCATTTTATGTCATGAGCAATTTGTAATATATAATTTTTGTTTTATCTTTCAAGTGCGGAATATTTGATTTATTTATTTTTCATTTCGGAGTTCAATCGTTTCATTTACTTTGGTGAATAAAATACAGAACTGGATGACTATTAAGTGCACAATTCAGTGGAAATAATTTAGTTCTAGCGTTTTAGTGAGCGTATCTTAATAGGAAGCAATATTGAATTAGCTCAACAAACAGGCGTAGAGTTGTAAGGTGAGATCATCGAAAAATTTACATCGTTAATCTAGTATATAGGATTTTATTCTTGACACACCATAAAACGGCGCATACTCGTTATAAGGTTAACGCGTGGATATATAGTTTAATCGAATATTCTCTTCAGGTTTGAATATAAAATGTTGATTCTCATATCATTTCTATCCCAGGAATTCCTGATATCCTTGTTTACTTTCACACATATAAAAATAATATGAAGTCGATCCACAACAGCTGTTGCCATTAACAAAAAAGCAAGCATATTCATTTACGAGAAAAAACATTTGATTTCGCTTGGTGCATATTGGAGTAACCAACAAATAAAACGTTTATTCAAAAATATGGTGGTGTTCAACCATTTACCTATACTAGTTTTTTTATAGAACAAAACTTTAAATTGATCATTTAAAACCAGCCTGCTAACATCACTTATTTCCAACTACATAAACAAAAACACAATTATGGCCTTTTGTTACTTACTTCTGCAAAATATTATATACTCTGTGCATTAAACTTTTATTTGGCATACACCCATGGTAGATAAACATTTCCTCCTAAAAACATAATTGAAATTACTGTTAAATTTGCTTCATTGAACCAAATAAATAAATAGCCGTTACATTGAATAATCTGTGTGCTTTAAAATAATATGTGTACACTTTAAATAACGGTCAAATGAACTTAACACACATTAGTTAATTTTATTCAAATTGGTTATAACTCATGCTTAGTAAATCGCTGACGGAAACGTTTTAGTAAAATTCAATTTAATTTTCTTTGATTGCATTTTGTTTTTGTTGTTATTGCAAGTTGTTCTGTTACATGAACAAAAAATATCGAATGTATTTTGGCATGAATAGTTTTTTTTTTCGTCTATTTGGCTATTCCGTCTACTTCGGTTTGCATGTTAGAATTTCTATCTTCACATTCTATCAACATAAACGTCATCTGAGTCAGATCCGCATTGTGATAAATCAACTTGAATTAATGCTTTCCACGTCAATAACATTTGCCGTGGAGAAACTTTGTGATATGTTTTTATTTTGGCAAGTCGACAAGAGTCTAGGATTTTCAGGCCCCAATTTTTGAAACCTCTGTCATCTTCTGGTGTGACGCCCAATGTCTTTGCCATTATTCCCATGAACGCATCATCCATCGGAATAATACGAGTTTTTAGTGATTGCAAAAAAAATTTAAAAGTCAAATTGCCACTAAGAAGAAATCCACCTCCTGATACGTATGGAGGATAATATTCTCCGGAATATAAATTAGAACTCACATAATATTTGGAATTTGGATTGGTAATTCTTGGACTGTATTCTAATTTTGATCCAACGAAGAGTTCATTCCTTTTTTCTGCAGGTAAAGTCACTAAATATTGAAGAATATTTGGAAGGTTAACTAAAATATCATCATCACCTTTGAAAACATAAGGAATATGTCGACAATGTTTCACAAACCATTGCATAAAAAGACAATCTTTCCGAGTTAGTGTGTTAAAAGCATCATCGAAATTCCATTGAAGTATATCTGAATAAATGCTATCTTCTCCAAAAAGAAGATTTTGCGCTTTATCAGTTTTACATTTTCCCAACAAAAATACTATCTCGATACGCACACCCAGTACTTTTGTGCTGTATGTCGTATTACCCCAAGTCATTCTAATGGCTTTTCTCCTATCAGTTGACTCACAGACAGAACGTATTGCTAAAACTAGAAACACATCATTCTGTTGAGCAGATTTTTGCGAATTGCAAGTATCATTGTGTGAAATAATTGAATCATGATCCCTTCTTTGAGAATATTCAATTGTTGGAGCTGTTTGTTGCCCACTAGCGGAAAGCAATAGTGGAGGAAGATCGAGAGCTTCATCCATACTTCGAAGTCCTGGCATATCCTCATAATTGGCATCATCTGGCGATATTTTGTGTGTGATTGATGGAGAAGGTGTTATAGTCTCGTATCTGCTATACGTATCATCACGTGGAATATTCTTATTAAGAATAACGTAGGTAGATTTGATATTCCTGTTATCTGAAATTGTAGAATTTAAGCATCATTTCGAAAAAAAGTTGTCTTGAAGAAAAAAGCATGGAACAACATTTGCAATAGCCATGCATTTGAATTTACAACAAGTCACACCATTATACGGAAAGAGAGATGCTTGATAATGACGATGTGTGTAATATATCAAGCATAGAAGGAGGGGAACCTCAAACTTACGACCTTTTCATTACGAAAATCACATGATCTAATACAGAAACTCATTTTACGTTAGAGTAGTCTGTCACCTGGCGCGTCAAAAATAAACTAGATACGAATAAAAATAGTTTTCGAAGAAATAGTAACATGAATATGCAAGAAGAAAACATATATAGTATTAAAGTACCCGTTTTACGCTTAGAAATGATATTGTGTACTTTAATCACATTTATCCTGTTGACCCGATTTGACAAGAAATCATTCGTCATCAGTTTTATGCACAGAAGCATGAAGCAGACAGAACCCACTCGACGGACGGATATACAAAATTTTGCATACATTCTTGGCTACACAATACAGTTCAAATATCTAAAAAAGTATTCAAAAATAATAATATACCGTAACTAAATTAACTTTTATTAATTGCATAACAATCAATTAGTACAATAAAGTAACAAATTCTCGTGCGAAAATGTCGACAGTTTTTGTAATTCATATTAATATTGATAAATAAATTTTATCCTTCGGGAGTGCTATTTTGAATCATGACTTCTCATAAATGACATAAGCCAACATGCATTTTCATTAGCATGCATGCACTAGCATAATATGAAGATATATTTACCCATTGGAATGTGTAGCAATTTGTGTGTTCGGTTTTCCATTTCAGAAAAGTTTCATTTTTTTTGCTAATTCTTATGAATTATCAATTACACGTGCATTAAGGATTAGGACCACACATGTATCTTTAAAGAATGGTTAATGTACTTTCTTTTATTAAAAATTAATTACTAATAAACCACAGTGAGTTTTGAACACCTGTCCGTTAACTTTTAATTTTCGTTAGTTTTCCTATTATGATATCATATATTTGAGGTAGAATTCCTCAAAAAATATCGAAAAACATGTGGACTTTATTTTTATATAAAGATATATAATTGATTTGATATAAATTGACTTGGAGAACAGTACAAAAAGTACAGTGTATAATACCATAGGTAAAATTCCAAAGTCAGTTAGAGAACGGTTAATAGCAGATAACGGGGTTTCATAGTATAATGAGGAAACTGCACCGGAAACGCGCGGAAATGCAATAATATTACTGTTATCATTAATCTTAAAATACAATCTAGACCACAATCTACAACTAATTATGGCTATACCATGAAGTCAGGAAGTACAAAATCCATACTTTATACTTAACCACGTATACTGTATTATGCTGAATTTCTCGCATTATGAAGAGATTCAAGCTCTCAAAATTTTAACTGATATTGGTCACTGCTAATTAACATATAGATGTAATTTGTGCGGGATGTTGTCGCACATTCATTTTGAAAATGGCTCCAGACTAGACAAGTAGTTAATCAAAAGTAAGAAAATACTATACTGATAATTAAGGACGGCAAGCTCATTCGTTTAGCAATACTTGCCCAATTTATTACAAAATATTGTCACGAGATCAAAAGCTTGTGGCGCCAACATATTTAGCTTCAACGCATAACCAACTGAACCAGGGGTGTGCAACCTGCGGCCAGGGGGCCAAATGTTGGCACAAGCAGAAATTGTGCGGCCCGCGGAGTAGTGCCAACTTTAAATGTTGGTTTGATCTGGCACGTGAGAGTAATTCCAATCCTTTTGTGTTGCAAAGCCCATAGCTGAGTCCATTTTATTATCTATGGCTATGACGTTACATTACCTAATAGCTAATTTGTACCAGCGGGACAACGAACGTCGTAGGATCAGTAACCAAAATTTTTGTGACACATTAATTGTATCTGGCACTTCCCTGGTATTAAAGGTTGTGCGCCCCTGCACTAAACCGTCGCGCGTACGAACGATGTATTTATTGTAAGTAACTGCACCGGGAAAACGAATTGTACTCAATCTAAATTATCTATTCTATCTCTTGATGGTCCTATATTATTTTTACAAAATTCAATATAAAACGATTTTTATCAAAATTTAATAAGTAATAGCACAATGTGTGGGAATACAATTATCTAACAAAATAAGCTTCTGTTTATTCCTATATGCATTATCTCAAGATTCCCTCAAGCCTGTTCCATATATTATTATCAACATTTATGGATAAAAAGTTTTCGGATTCATAAGCTGCTGAATATTACTTCATTGGAAATGAGAAATTCTAAACGCTATACATCACACAGCGTATTCTCAACATATCAAGCCATGGGAACCGCAAATACGTATCCGAACATCAAAATGCAGTTTACAGATATAGTTGCACGCACTACGGAAATAGTAGCAATTATGATTGATCTGGAAATTGCATTCATTTCCGACAGCCTTAAATTGATATCGAAAAATACAACAAACCCAATTGCATTTAATTGTAATCCAGTTGCTTTATATACAATGTCAACGAAGGCCAATAGTTTGAAAAAATGTTGCATTTTCACAAAGTTTATCACGATATCACTACAACTAATACAGATAAAAATATAAGAAAGAAAAAAACGAAGCAAAAACTATATTATCTATAGAGGTCCATAGTATTTTTTTGTCTTTTGTTATTGCACCGAAACCCACACACAATTAGCAATACCCAACATAATAAATTGTTAACAGTTTTTTGAAATGAATCAATCTGTATGGCGGCCTAATAGCTTACTTTGGAGAAAGTCATATAAGCTCCCTGACAAGCTATGACATCAAAAGTCTTCGGAATAATAGAAAAAAATACGTCGTTCATACAAAATATGCATAGAATCACAAATCGAATAAAAAGTGCAATAAGACACTTAATATATTTTGGGTGCGAAAAGACTCTGTGGTTTAATCAAACCTAAATATTACAACATTCTCATTATTTAACAGTTTGCCAGTAAAAGAATACAATTTAAAAATTCATATATACCGTCGATTGTAATTATAATTCTGGTAATATATATTTGTAAAAGGAAATAAACATAATATAACAGTATCAAATCTTAATACTAGAAATAAACCATGTTAAACCATGTCTCTGGAACTTTGAAACAGTAAGTTTTCAAAGGATTAATCTTTATGAAATTTACAGTCTTTGCCACGGACAAGTCTGAAAATGCGTGGCCGATTTCGGTATAGCCTACCCTTCATTATTACAGTGTAGTTGGCTATTTGTTTATAACATTGTCTACTGATTTATCTGAGAATTATCTGTTGCACGATTTAATAGATAATCATGCATATTTAACAATAGGTATAAAATAAAGCTTTATACACTGCAGTTCATTTTGGGGTACAAGTATATGAGGATCTAACTCCATGAAAAAAATCCTTTTGATTGTTATACGATTGTGCCATGCTCCTTTTCCTCAACAGTATTTGGTTCTTCCACCATTGATGTCAAGTCAGTTTTCTGCAAAGTTCCTATACATTAAAAGGAAAAGTTTCGACAAAATTATTTCGATAAAATTCCTTGTTAAAATTCCTTGTTTGATCAGATAAAAAATCTCATTTGGTTTACAAAATGGAAGATAAAAAAATGAATAGGAAGTGGACGGCGAGTATTGAAAGAAGATAGTTACTGACTGTTACATCACACTGTAAAAGTGACAATGGGCCTGATATTTGCGATAGCTGCTTATTTTATTTTAATGCAAATTTATATCAACAGTAATTGCGACTTTGAGATTAAATATGACAAAATATCAGGTATTATGGAGAAACATCTTATATATAATTCTAAAGTAGTGTAGTAATCGTGGACTGACTAAACTTACCATGAGATGTCGATATAGACACGGTATGTAATGATTGAGAATAATCTGATGAACTTTGACCGGTACAAGGGAGTATCTCCATCCACATTTGGCGAACGTCTTCACGTCTGACGCAAAACAGTACGAAGATAAAGACGCCCTGAAATTACATTTTAATAATTCATCGTTTAAAACTTCGACAAATTACCACTAACATATATTTTTTCAATATAAAAAGCCGATATATTTTTATGTATATATTCAATATTTACCTGGAATGCGTTCGCGATTGAAAACAGCCAACTAAATATTTCATTGAGCGTTTCGTCATCTGTCATCGTCATTGGAATAGCGAATACCCATGTGACACCCAGTAAAATAGAAACTGTCAATATTCGCAGTGCGTGATCTTTCATATCTTTCTCAACCTTTGTGGAACGAATCTGAACGATAATAATAAAAAAGTTTTCGTTTTTTAGAATTCTATTAATGAATATTTTAAATCGCTTACCTTAGGATTAGGTTTTGCCAACACTCGTAGGATTCTGATAAATCCAAATAAATTTGCAACAAAAGCGAAGGCAACAGGAGTCAGGAAACCAAAGTACAGAGAATACCCATGCAACCAACACAGACGATCACTGACGTAGTAGGATGGATAGAACAAAGGATCTACACGTAAAAAAGAAGCACAAAAACATATTTAAAATATTTCTTATCTAAACCAAGACGTAATCAAATACATATATATTTATATATACGATACTTGGCATTGATAACAAGGATATCGTGCACTCTTGTCAAATCTGCCAACAAAAGGTCTCCACATCTGAACGTAGATGCGTGCGTAGATGCGCAGGTGTAAAAATAAACGGCAATTTATTTTCTTAACACTGATCTAAATTACTTCAAATTAGTCACAAATACAACTCCTCAAATTTCATTATATTTGTAAAGAGTAAACAATTCACAAACGTCACTAACTTACCGTTATCGGTATCCAATTCCCAGTCTTCGTACTCTTCAGAATCTCCAATAACATATGCTATTATTGAAGTTGCCATAGTTATGATGAACGCCACGATGTAAACAATAGCTGCTGTTTTGATGACGTAATTTTTGGACATATTATTAAATACTGTCACAAGTTTTTTAAACAAAATACACAAAATGGTAGGTTTAGAGAAATGGTTGTTTGGTTTTTCAGTATTCTTCATGGGCCATTTTATTTTACAATAAGTATCTTTCAAATCGAAGTAGTGATATAACTTTAAATAATTATATTCTGATGGGAATGTAATTATGAGATTCGTGATTGTAGCAAATTCTCTTCATGCCAAAGAACTATGCACAAACAAGGGTTGAGAAGGTTGTTGCTAATGTGAAACGGGAAAAATCTGTTTGCTAATATGTGCATGCATATCTGGCTATTTCAAAGCTCGTATATCGTTAACCAAATTAAGAAACTCACTTGTACATTGTCACGCATTCAGAAAACATCCATCCCCATGCTGATAAAAATGAAAATTGTAAAATGGCACCGACAGCCATGCAAGAAATATAGTCACGTGGTCGTTCTACACCAATGAGAAAGGTCAAATATCCAACAAGCAGGCAAGCGCTGAGATGAATTAAAATTTGATTGACTTGATTGCTGCGAAGTTTCCTGAAACATGGCATAATTATTATTATGAATATAAAAATGTATATGCATTTTATTTAACACAAATATACAACAGTCTAGTCCAAACACAACATGCTCTGTTATTTCTTCGAATAAATATTTCTTTTCGTGAATCAAAAATCGGACGGACCCCTGAAAAATGTTTTGGACTCCTATGATAAAAACTCGCAAATTTTTGACCAGCAAGTAATTTAATGATTAATGTTTAAGAAAGATTTACTATACGATCATGATTATCGTCAGACATTTTGTTTCTAATAAAGATGATGATAATACAAATACAGTATTTAGAATCCATGCACACAATTTCCAGCATAATTTTACATTAAAGTAAAATGTCAGCGTTGCTGAAGAGACAAATGTTGGCGATACTTGATTAAATCCTTGTTTGATTTTCAAAATAAATTTGTTTTAATACATTTCAACACTCTAATAATAATAAAAAGTGCTGTGGCGCCAAAACCTAAAAATGCAAAACGATGAAATCAAAATGACCATTTATCATTTAAATTTTGTATAATCTGAAATATTTCGTAGTTTCTCAGTTTAGAAAAACAACAGTCTGTTATAACATTACATAGATGGTCAGCGTAGACTTACTGGAAACCCAGATATATAATCAGTACAAGAATTAAAGCAACACTTGAGCAAGAACAGCCGATATATCCGACAATTTGAATTGCATAGCTAGACATCACATCGTGTGTTTGCTGAAATAAATATGAAAATCGTTTTGGGACTTGTGTGCTGAAAGAGATATGAACAATTGATTTGAGCTATAATTGCAGTAAAGTAATAGTTCTACGTTTCATCTATCAAATTTTTTTTTTTTTGTATTTTGCCAATGTCATGATTTCTAAACTCCATGCGTGTTATTAGTAAAAGTGAACACAAAATGTCTATTTTCAATTAACACCGATCATTTGCATACCTATACCTTTACACTATATACTGATATACACTTATATCTGAAGTAAATCTTACCACGAGTACTGCAAAGTTCGTCATATGATCACAAGTGCAAGATGTAATATTTGAATTTATAATTATTGTTTTGCAACCATTAAACTCCCAAACGCCTGTCGAAAGATTCAAATAAGAGCATCTTTGCGTGATGAAATTCTAAAAGAAAATCAAAGTTATGTTTCCACGGTAAGTAGTCATATTTATTCTTTAATCCAACTTAACTGGAAGTTATGAGTAAATAAAATAAAAAAGTAATATTATTGGTGAAATATCGCGCTGCGTAAGACTGAATATATAAAAGTTTTTGTGAAACATTGAAATCGACATATCCATTAGTTTACTTTCATGTTTCATTTTTCATGTTTATCATTCCGAGTCAAAATAAAATCAAGCGGTTCGACATATAGTATATAAATAAAACGAAGCGAGGAGAACCTTCTCAAAGGATAATTTCGCTAGACGACTTGCATTATTAGCTGTGGATGAAGATATCAAATCATCTCACCTTCTTGGATCCAAAATTCTTCAAAGGCAGAGTGAATGAGTGCATAACAGGTTCCTTTAAATCTCTAAGTGTTGATTTTGAAATTTGTGAACTCAGTACCTAAATTATAAATTGCTAGTAGTGAAAATGGTGAATTATCCTGAACAAATTAAATAATACATAAAACAACTGTGACGTGAATAAACACAATTTTTATGGCCTTTCTTAGATAAAAAAATGAATAGGAAACATTAGATCAATGCTCAAATATATAGACACAAAAGCCAAATCCAAGCAGTCTGGCTATGAAATCTTTCACAGTAAAGCTCCGGCACTGCAGTTTCTTCACGACTTCGCTTGACCACCAAATATGTGTACATTTCGTGTCCGAAAAGAAAGAATATTGATGGTCTTACTTGATTAACTTTTATATTATCTTTAGACGGGGTTGGAAACAGCGTAGCGTCTTTGTGCAAATAAAACACTGCATTTTTCTTTTCTACACCGTTTGGTATAGCAGATTTTGGAATGAAGGATTTGGCACTTGGTTGGAAGGTGCCGTTGTTTGATATTGTACCATGGAAGACAATTGGGTTATCAGTTAAAAAGTTGATCTTTTGAGCCTGCAATGCAAACAAATTCTTAGTTAAAGAATGGAACAAGGAATAAAACGACACTGAATAACGATGCATTTGAATTACCTGAAACAGATTAGTTTCTGACATTTTTGTAAACACTTCATCAACTAGTACTAGATTTGAGCCATAAACTTCCAACGTTTCCAAAAGCAACAGTTTTTCATTTTGCAAAACCTCAAATTGATCACCGGGTTTTTGGTGTTCCACGGTACTGTGTATATCATCCATGATCCATAATAAGGACACCATAGCTTCTTCAGTAATCTGAATATTGCATTGACGTTGATAACATAAATCCGTTTATCAACAAAATTGTGATAAAAACTTAAATATTGAGATTACATTTCTCGGTGAGTGTATTTATTTGAATTAGGACTAAGTTGGGTATTATTTGGAATTTGTAAAACAGTTTACCTACTTAGCATTATAAAATGTTCACAGCTGTTTACATAATAATTTTATGATTTAATATCTTCCATGATTTATAGAATATATGATTCATAGGAAGTGGGAGTAATTCACTCCCGCAGTGAAACGAGAAAACAACAGATTAGATAAATGATTCAATGATACGATCATTCCGAAGAATAAACAAAACTACAGCAAGTGGTGGTTATGGAGAATGGTGATTCACTTCCTTTTCAAATTCGCTTACTATTAATCGTCTACTGCCAAAACATAAGTATTAGATACGTTTCAAATTTCGAGAGTCAATCCTGTTTCTACTTCATGCAAATTACTTCGGCGTAAGGTCGCTAATCCTCGTCTTATATGAAAAGGTCGAGAATTCGTATACCACTGCGTCGCAATTTACGTACATTGAAGCACAAAATATCTGTCATTGTTAATAAAATTACTATCATATTCATACTACTCAATGTGTTTTAGTTATCCCAAAAATTAGGGATTTTGATAAATATTACACAGCGATAGAAAGTATAAATAATCTTTTTGAGAAGTTTAATCCTGTTAAAAATCGATCAATATTAATAACAAGAATAAATATAACGGAAATATTTTTCTCTCCGCATAATTCTGTTTAGTGAGAGGGGTCATTTGCTATTTCATTGTTTTATGACACGTACATTAATGTTGTCATTCTTCGTAGCTTCCTTCAAGACATCCAGGACTTGAATTGTTTCTTTGATACTTTTGCTTGTTTGTTTCGAAGATAGAGAACTGAGTTCGCCCATAGTTGACTCCAGACGAGCAGATGTGAGGCCCGGCATTTTAGCCTTACATCAGTGTCAAACATTAAAGAATAGTTTTATTTATTTTACGCTAAAGCAAATTTAATATGGGAAAGATGAATTGCATTGGAACCTGTAACAAATGAACAGGAGAAATGGGAATAATAATATTTCAAATGATAATGGAACCTAATTTACTTAATCGGTGAGTGACTCAACATATATTTAGATATGTTACGAACAATGGTATAAATACATCCGACCCGATATGAATACATAATGCGAATATTCTTACTGAAATACTAAACCCAATCATAAATTCTAAGATTTTATCATTTACTTATCTTTGTGGATAAAACTTATGAATTGATCAGAAAATAAATGAAATATATAGGTCTAGACTAAGTTTAATAAAATAAAATCAATAGCAATCGAAACTGGCACGAATAGGCTGCCTTACCGTTTCAATTAGACTGTTTACGTCAACTTCGCAGGCGTACTCTTCTAATGTCTTGATGTCGAACGAACCCGATGAACTTCTATTCGTGGCGATGCATTTTACGGTAGCGGAGTAATCTTAGAATATTATTTAATCAGAATTATCAATTGTCTATCACTCTATAGTATTCACTGTTATGTCACCACTAACTGACCATAAAAGATATTTATATGTTCTACAATACTTGGTGGGACGACCCGGTCTAAATTATTATCTAGATTATCTAGAATATTGAGTTTAAAATTATTACACTCACTAGAATTTGCACAAGTCTCTAGAGAACGGGACGGTGTATTTCCTTCAGTAGTTGGAAAAGTGTATACCATTGTAGAATAATTCAAGGATTGAATAGTCGTTTGAAAGCAGTATGATTTTAACTGAGGACCTGAAAAAAAATTTCATCTCAAATCGCTAATATTTTGATTAAATTATTCTTAAAACGATAAACGTGTTAGGTATGAATATGATAGCTTCATATGTACACAGTGAAGCTAAAAACAACTTTGTAGTATATTTAAACTATATATATAATTGAATCAAGTGAATCAATAGGAACTCTGAAAAATTAGCGACATAATACTATCACATAAACCCTGCTAAAACGCCTAAAAACAGTGAAAAACCGTCGAAAAACACCAATAACTCTGCTAAAACGCTTAAAAAAAGATTAATTGTATAGCATCAATTAACAAAGACGTTCACATTCAACATTGAATTAACTGTCAATTAGAACATGACTTTTCTTACTTTTTGTGACGAGTACTGTTGTAGATTGTAAACTTGTTGTTGTAGTTGGCTGCGTGGGTTTGATAAACTCATTTTGCTCGTCAATGTATGTGTGAGTGTTACACAAATCGGAGTTACAGACACCAAATTTACAAATATCGGGAGAAAATATACTCCGAAAATCTCGAATGACGGTTTTGGTAAATTTCGATGTGATAGCACTGATAGAGGGGCGGGTCGCATCGACAAATGAAGTGAGGCTAGGTGCTGTTGAACTAAAATTATAACTCCATTCAACGATTTCTTTGGCGAGTTGCTTAACGTCATTCGGGTCCATTACCGACATTAAACGAAGGTACAATCCATGGTCCTGTGAACTAGGAGATGGGGTTTTATAAATTGAAGTGCTAATGTTGTAAATTTTGAACAACGCAAAATCTACGTCTATCGTGAAGTATAACACCCTCAAAGTAAGAATTTTCATGTACTCATGATTTGACTGAGATTGGATTGGCAATAAAATGTTCACCAGACTGTCGATAAGATTTTGAAAAATAGAAGGAAATTCGGAATCAGGAAAAGATTTTGTATATGCTTTGATGAACGTACTGTAAGATTTGACTATATATGTTGCATTGATAGATTTTTCAAAGAAAGTCTTATTTATGACAAATTGTAGATTATCCAGAAATGGCTGAACTTCTTGAGGAATTTGTCCACCCATTGCGATAGTTAAATTTGAAATAATTTTCCCGGCATCAAAATTCGGAAAATGCTGAAATCCATCAGTGAGAATTTGAAAGAAATCATCTAACTGAGTCGTATAATTAGAAAATATGTCATAAAACATTGCTGATAAGTTAATAACATATGCACGTTCTCTTGTTGTATTAAAGAAGCCATTTCCTATTACTCGTGCAAAGCTCAGGACAAAGTTACTCAATTTTGTAGGTTTAGCTGTGTCATCCAGATTACTGAAGTTGAATGATTTGAGCCCGTTTTCTATTTTGCGATACGTCTTTTCTAGAAGCAATTTATCCGATGGAACATATTTATAGAAAAAACCTGGCATCCACTCTAGTGTAGTTTTAAGTTCATACGGTATTGTCCAATGAGCGGCTTTGCTGATGAAATTTGTAAGTGCTACCCCCAAAGCTTCGGTCGCATTATTCCTTTGAGTGTAGGCTTCCAACAAGTCAAGATACCAAGTGATGAGAGAAGTGGAATTTGGATAAGACAATTGATGAAATAAATCTGGTAAAGCGTTTAATACTGGATCTATGACTTTTGTCACTTCTTCAGGAATATTGTAGGCTGATCTTATGATCGATATGGAATCTGCTACACTTTTCTTTGGATGGGTGATGTTAATGTTTCCTAAAACATCAAAAATCACATAATACCATAATGATAGATTTGAGTTAGTTGGGAACATTGATTCTAATAGTCCTGGAACTTTCTCGACGGAATTTTTTACAATAATATCTTTTTTAACCAATATGTAGTATTCTTTAGGGAAAAAATTCTCCATAAACTTGAAAATGTTACGAGAAAATCTCGCGTTGTCCGTGTCAAGATTGCTTAATTTAAGGAAAAAATCGTATGCTGTTGAATTCATTGTTACTCTATCCGACGCATTGAAAAGCGCAGTAATCAATTTGCCCAAAGATGGTTGTAAAGGCTGAAACTTGGTCATGTTGAAACCAATGTATTCCATAAACTTGACAAAACCCGATAAAAATTCATCTATATTCTCCCCTCTTGACAATAATTTTGTGAATTCATTTATTCCTCCATAAACAAAATCCAGATATAAATCAGTGAAGCGTTTCTCAATGTCTGGAACCAAATTTAATAGCTGAGAAGGGTCAACGGTACTTTCTGGTCCAAACATATCTTCACAATTCAGCAGGTTGGCATAAGAGCTTGTAATACACGCGCCATATCTTAACTCCACATTTCCAAGTGCGGAAATCCTGGTTTTCAAATTTTGTCCAAAGCATTTACTAAAACTCGTACAGTTTCGTTCAGACCAGTGATAAAGTGGAATTCCTCCCAATGAAACGTTGAAACCCTCATTACATACTAGAGCGTTAGTAGTTGCGTATGACGTGGCATGCAATATTGCCAATAATATCAAAACGACCTTCATTCTGTTTTCTTTGTCGCAAATTAAATTTCACCGCACACAGTAAAATGTAATAGATTGAAACTTTACATTCTATTTCTACATTCTATATTATTAACACACACACACGCACGTTAAAAAATCTGAAAAATACATTACGCGTGTAAGATATTCTTTGAGCTCTTGCAGTCCCACTAAAGCTTAACTGTTTTGAATTACTCCATTGCTGAATTCCTAAAATTGGGGATACCAGAGAAAACATTTTTCGCACAGCCTGACTACATTTATGTCTATTATATTTCTGTTATAATAAGCTTGTCATTTAATTTTGGGTTCGCGTTTGTCTACTTGTGGATTGTCTTCATTTTCACGCCCTTGTGGCAAAGAGTCGAACTATCCTCAGGTCAGCCAAACTTTCCTATTTATGAAAAGCTCTTAATGACATCAATTATAATAAAAATATCAACTGGTAACTGAGTCAAATCTATGATATTAATAGTCTTTGAAAATACTTACGCACCAAGAAGACAATACTACTTACGCACGCGCAACCGATTACGTCCTTCTACTATATGATGGAAACATTCACTTCCGCCGTTCACAAATAAGAAAATATATCTCAAAATATCAAACGTTGAATAGGACCCAGTGATAATAAGTCATATATTCAAAAAATTTTAAATTCCCCAGTCTTAGTCTTCACAATTAATCAATAAGTTGATTATAATACTTACCAAGACACTCTATTTATAAGTATGAAAATAAAATCATAATAATCCGATCCCATATGCTAGTATGTATGTTGCTAAGTATTGCTAAGTTTCGTTTTTGCTGATTATCCACAGAATCCCCTCGCTGATGAGTGAATGCTCTCTATCGAAGCTGCAAACCTATAGGCAGATGTGAGTAATCAAATATTTAGGAACAATATAGGCATAAATATGTGAAACAACAAGGCTAATGAGCTTATTTATATCCGTTGTTTCGTCAAATTCAGTTCACGTTTTATATTTTCATAATGAAGAATCATAATATCATAGCACGAGTCAAACTGATTGGTACAATCAAAATTCATATTATGCTCTTGAGATGATAAACTTCCCTATTACTTTTATGTGTTGTATCACATGATATCTTATATTCGCTATATACTTAATTTCCTCGGTCAGAAGCCTATATGATAAGGTGTGCTAACTAACAAATGGTTGTATATCAGAACCTCGTTGTGATATATATATTATTCAACTTGTCGATATGTCTAAATATATGTATATCTTTTTCGTCTTTAGTCGGCCCTTCTCAGGTAGATTTTTTGATCAACTAACTGGCTTATGATTTTCATGTAACTAATAATTTTAATTAGGATAAGAATGACTAATAGATTACGTGAAGATTTCAAAATAACGTGTATCATAGATATGATAGCTATTACGTATTTTTAAATGCAATAAAATTCATACTGTCAAGCACGAATATAAGGTTGAAAAGAAAAGAAGGTTGACGTTAGCGATTTCGCCTAATGCTACCCTCAAAGCGACTCGCGATTCAACTGCAATTTATTTAAACCATTAGGACATTTTGAAGGCTCGAAGTACACTTGTACAATGGGTTAATTGTCGTTTATCATCTAAATTGTACAAACTATAAATTCTACAAAAGTAAATTACTACTGGCAAAACAAAATGATCGGTAAGGAGTAGCAAGTTTAACAATAGTGGCAAAACTAATTGGTATTTGATCATATTTGAAATATATACTTATTAATATAGACTCTCGGATTTGATTGGAACCTTGCTGGAATGTACCGCCGTAACCCCAGGGTACCGGGAACGCCGGTTGGAAACCACTGGACGACTTTTTCTCGAAGAAATGACTTTACTTGACCTTATATTGTACATGGGCGTCATGTACTGAAAAACGCTTGAAATTTACCCGTTAAATCATGAATGCTTTATAACAATAGATGATGTGAGATTACTGGAACGTCCAAATAATATTTATCGGTGACGTGGTGATATTCTTTAATAAAGAACGCTTTGTATTGGAATACCCACCATTTTATTTCATTTTTTCCTACCTATATTGCACTAATCCCATCGAAAGTACCCATTCTGTCTAAAGCGTGAATCACCTCACTTGCAATACATACATGGGCATCATGTACTGACTAACACTTGAAAAATTTCCGATGAATCATTGATGTTAATAATATAGATAGATGGATGGAGGTTATACCAGAACGCGTGCATTAATCTTATGACAATATGGTGTTGCTATCCAAGCAACTAACGATTTGTTTGCTGCATAAACAAACGGAAGAAGAAAGAAATGGTCGACATAACCCCGTTAACAATAAATATATATGACTGAAATGAATAAAATAAATGAAAAACTTAATGCAGGAGTTTATGAGATTGTTGTTTGAGATGTGTGATTTGGTTTCTCTTTCGGTTTTGTTCTCCTGAATATTTTCAAACGATAGAATAATTGAAAACATTTTAAGTTATAAGTTCTTTACTAATTTTTTATATATTCTATTCTTTGAATAGAGTTCCTGATAGCTTTTTTCGCAATTAAGGTCGATTTGTTCAAAAAAAAAGTTTTAAAACAAATGTTTTGGGTGACTTTTTTAACTGTTTTGTTTAAAATGGCTGTTACATTAGTTTGTTTTGCATTAAATAGGCAAAATCAATGGAAATGGATGTCCAAATTTGCTTAATCGATTTTTATCGTCAATATAATACTCAAAACTTCCACAAGAATCGATGATTATAGCCGTACACGCTTTCTCAAGCTGTAGCGAAATGCTCGTGTCAAACCACCCACGCGTTGGAGTTGTTTCCAAAACGAAGTATTTACTAAATGCCTGAAAAAATGGGAATTCGGATACAACCTCCCTCAACCCCTGGTACATTTATGAATTTGATTAAAATAAACAATATTTTGACGTTCTTTTTTTAACATTGAAATCAGTGTAATAATATTTTGTAAGGTATATATATTTGCAATTGGAGTTGTCGATAAATTGCCTAGCCCACATTGGCATGGATATACATGGTTTACATTTCTCGGGAGCTTACTTTTCTATTCCATGACAACACCATTAGTTACTCTAGGAATGGGTGCTTTGGGAAACGAAGCCACGCTCGTTTTCAACGAATCATAAGTGTATGATATAAAACTGTTATTACCTATTCCACATAATTAAATTGAATGTACAACAGTATAATATCAGATATATATATGGGTGAATTCAAAGGCCGTCGAACGATCGGTTCAAAGTTAATTCAAGTCACGCAGATTAGCAGGATATGAAATAAGCATGTCATCAATGGTTGAGTAGATATTTCGTCAAGCTAAAAAGTCGGTCACACAAAATTTGATAAAAATAAACATTTTTGAAATCATAATGACTGAAATGTCAATATAGTACCTTTTAACACCTTCATTCAATTCCAGACAGTATATTAACATACAGTTAATATGAAGTATTTCAGATATTCGATTCCAACAAATAAGTAGTTTACTGCTGCACAGGCATCTACTAGTATACGGAGCATAGGACAGCCTAGTTTTCGGTCCTACACGCTACCCCGTCAGGTCAAGGCTCATATAGTCATTATGTTTATGCAAATTTATTTAATGTATATGCCTGAAATTTTGGTATGTGTGAAGTCAAATTTGTAAGAGTTGAATGATAGCGTAGAGTTCAGTTGCTTACTTTACATTTAACGTTTTCAGGATTAACAACATTATTGTAGATATACTACATGGCGTCTATTTGCTCCTATTTGGTACGACCACGAAATCTGCTTGCATACAACTAATATCCATCGCCACTCTAAGCACCATAGATAAATAATTATTTACCCCTATGTAAGAAATTTTTTCTCATTTTAATTATGGGCACTAGGTTGTGTTCCAGAAAAGGGTTTCGTAATATATATTTTCCGCAATCATGCCAGCAATCATAAGCTTAGTAGTAAGCGTAATATATATTTTCCGCAATCATAAGCTTAGTACATTCATATTCGGTTAAATGAAGTGATTAATATCCCAAATTTGATACTAATAATTAATTCCATGTATTATTCCCATGGTTATACATGAGGAGTCCCAAATAGATATTTTATTGAGCCAACTTGGTTTTGTATTCTGACCAATAATCTGGCATCTGTGAATCCTCTCGCACGCCGCTCTCTTTTTTTCGTGGTTTTAGTGAGCGCACCTCCATCGTTTAGCTCTTGGAATTTGCTATTTTGTAAGTTATGTTTTCATGTTTGTTTTTATTTATTTTGTCAGTATTTGGAGTGATGTTCATAAATTAGATTAAATTGTATGTAATTACTGGATTAAACTGACTCATCGATGTTCATTACTACTGCGATAATGCAATAAAGTCAAAGCAACAAACGTTGGATGAACTATTTGAGATCGGGCTTTTTAAGTTATTCTGGTGTTACTCGCAGATTGGATCACACGATATCACTCCACATTATAGTTAGGTGCTAGCACCGTTTGTTACCTACACCATATTCTGAGTAAACATATTCAGGATTATTTCTGTAGGTAGGCAATGAGTAGAACAAACTGTGCAGCTGTGCATATTCATGGAAACTCGCAAGCAATGAAATTGAAATTAGAACTTTGCATCGACAACGAAGATAATTGGAAGGATTTTATTGAACTTTGTGCAAAATCCTTCCACGACTCCATACCCATACCGTATAAAAGGTCACATCCTGATTCCAACAAAAGAAAAGCGTTCCTGAAGTTGTATATATATGAATTATCTATATCAGGTTAGCATAACAAATTTCGCTCTCATTCATTATTTAATAACTGTACTTGAATCTATTCCGATGTATCGTCAGAAACAACAATCAGAATATTATTATATTTCAGCACTATTTGTTGGATATTCTTATAGATATGGTGTTTTATTATTTACTGTAATATAGGTAACTCTCAGAAAGAGAGTAGTATAAAAACTGTGACCAACAACATTCGAAAATACGAAGAGACAGATAGGTGAATGAAAATGAAACAATTCTTGAAAGGTAAAATATTATGAAATCAGAACAAATGCACGCATTTCAACAATAGTGCTTAATAGTTTATATAATTTTTCAACTGTGAAGATTAAACTATACGCCACGCTCGTCAGAAATAGTCCAAGCATTTAGAGTCGAAATTGAGATGGATCTTATTCAACATGTAGGTTCTAAAATTTGGTTCAAACTTCAGAGCGATAGTTGGATTTTACGATTCGAAATTCCAAGAGAGAAAAAGGTCAAATTCTACTTCTGGTAAGACAGCAATGATACGATGTTTTCGCTCCAAACAAGGAATGTGTATAACCCTATACGTATCCAACATTTTACCCATTGGCCTACCTGAAGTAAAGTGACACGAGTATGAACCGAATGACTTCAATCAGCGAGTCCATCATATTTGGTTCTAACGCACGAACCTACAAATCATTTCAAATATTTGGATGTTTTTAATTTGTCATTCCACTCTGAATTGTCAAATAGACAGGCTGGTTTGGTATGTGGGAAAATTCGCAATGCATTTGGAAACGATGGAATGATTTATGGATGCTGTTGCCAATATGGCTTTGCACAGCACAAAGAATCTGATCAAAGTGAGATGCAAAATATCGATGTCGAATTCTGGAACGCATGTCGGAGGTATAAATAAAAGTCAGAATATTATAGTTGTTTGCCCATTTTATTTACAGTAAACATTATTTCAGCTTGAAAAACAGTTATTTTAGAAAATGAAAAATTTATATTTGATTACAGCCCAATAGAGTCCATACTAACCGTTTACAGTACTCGCATCGTTAATTTCTTTGCATTATATTGCGTAAGGTGGGTATCAAGACTTTCATTAAACAAATTATGGTAGTTTCTGCAGACGTTCCCTTGCGGACCGTCGCAAGGTGTCATGATGTGCGAATGCATGTCTCACAAAATTGTGTTTATAACAAGTATATTTGGTAATAACCTGAACTTAAAAAGTAAGAAGTTCATTATAGAGCAGTAATAAAACGCCATTGGACCAGAAAACGTTGACGTCATAATATACGTTTCTTCTCGTGAGGGTGAGAAGCGGCGAGACCCAAATTTAAATGTAATCATCCACTTTACTATATACAACAACTGTGAAGAGTTAACGAAGCAGTGAATGCTGCGAACAAGACCCCTATACGACCGAGAAAAAAATCAGTTATAATCATTGATATAACAACTTATCTTTCAAAACATACTAAATCAGATTGAAGAGCGGAATACGATTATCTGTTGCACGATTTAACAGATAGTCATGCATATTTAACAATAAGTATAAAATAAAGCTTTATACAATGCAGTTTATTTTAAGGGTAAAAACAAGTACATAAAGATACCCCTTCATGAAAAATTTCTTTTGATTGTTATACAATTGTACTATGCTTCTGTTCCTCAACAGTATTTGGTTCTTCCACCATTGATGTCAAGTTTGTTTTCTGCGAAGATCCTATACATTAAAATGAAAAGTTTCGATAAAATTGATGCTAAATTTGAAGACAACGTCTTAATCATTGTTACCAAAATTCAGCGAGGCACTTTAAATACTATCAATGCTCTTTATTTGGGATTTAAGAACCTCAATGCTCTGACGGACTGGTCATAGTCAAATAAAATGTCTTCATACCAAAATCTGCCCTGTATTTGACCAGATAAAAAATCTCGGTTCAAAAATTTGGTTTACAAAATGGAAAATACAAAATTAAATAAGAAGCTGACATGAATCGGTAAGTATTATTAGAAGATAGCGACTACTACATGACACTATGGATGTGAGAATGGGACGTGATAATTGCGTTAGTTGTTAATTTTATTTTGATGCAAATTAATTTAAATCAACAAGGATTGTAATTTTGTCACTAAGTAAAATATTATTACGACAATATAACAGGTAATATTGGAAAACAGTTTTATATATAATTCTACTAAAGCAGTGATGATGTAATCGTTGGACTAACCAAACTTACCGCGAGATGTCGATATAGACACGATATGCAATGATTGAGAATAATTTGATGAACTTTCACCGGTACAAGGAAGAATCTGCATCCAAATTTGGCGAACGTCTTCACGTCTGACGCAAAACAGTACGAAGATAAACACGCCCTGAAATTACATTGTAATAAAACATCATTTAAAACTTCGACAAATTACCACTAACATATATTTTTCAATATAAACAGCCGATACATTTTTCATGTATATATCTAATATTTACCTGGAAAGCGTTCGCGATTGAGAATAGCCAACTAAATATTTCATTGAGCGTTTCGTCATCTGTCATTGTCATTGGAATGGCGAAAACCCAGGTGACACCCAGCAAAATAGAAACTGTCAATATTCGTAGGGCGTGATCTTTCATATCTTTCTCAGCTCTTGTGGATCGAACCTGAAGAATATTGATAAAAACAGGGTTTTCGTATCTTAAAGTTGTATTGATGATGATTTCAAATCACTCACCTTAGGATTAGGTTTTGCCAACACTCGTATGATTCTGATAAATCCAATTATATTTGCAACAAATACAATGGCAACAGGAGTCAGGAAACCAAAGTACAGAGAATACCCATGCAACCAACACAGACGATCACTGACGTAATAGGAAGGATAGAACAAAGGAACTACACGTAAAAAAAGAGCACAAAAACATGTTCAAAATGCCCCTTATCTAAACCAAAAAACGTAAGCATATATATTTTTATATATATATACACAACTTGGCACTGATAATAAGGTTATGGTGCTAATGCACTCTTGTCAAATCTGTCAACATAAGGTCTCCGCATCTGAACACGACTCCTAATTTCCAATTTATATATGGGTACTTAATTTCATAAGATGCTCTTTTCACCAAAAAACAAGAACAAGGCTCTTTATATATCATTGGAGGATATGGTTAGTGAAGTCAATTTCACCAAAATCTTTACGTTTTTTATTTGTATGGCTAAAGTAAATGTAGAATTTCAAAGAATGTTGGTCTACCTCAGGGGTTCCCAAACCAGGGGTCGCGACCCCAAATTGGGTCGGAGTGATAAGTAGGTAGGGTCGCAAACAGGTCATGGGGTCGGTGGGGTAAGGTAGAGGATGAATATACAAATCATCTAAGATTTGACAAACCATGTTAAATTTAGCGGTTTGTACCATGGCTTACTGTAAAACAGGCGCTCTATGCTTATGCCATAGAAAATGTAGGTGCTTATTGTGACATCACTGTTTGGTTTTAGCTTATTTTAGTTAATACCACCACATGACCAAACTCAAAAGTCCAGTGAAGGAAGCTCTTGAATTTTCATGAAAAATATATATATTGACTTGGGGACGCACTGGACACTTGAAAGTTGTCTTTGGGGTCGTTCTGAAAAAAGCTTGGGAACCCCTGGTCTACCTATACGACCTAACCCAATATTTGATTATTACCAAGAATTTTCCCTTATGTAGATAAGCAGGTGTAAAAAAAATGCGATTTATTTTTATTCAAAACACTAATCTAGATTACTTTAAATCAGTCACAAATACAACTCCTCAAATTTTTTTTATTATATTTGAAAAGGGTAAACAATTCACAAACGTCACTAATTTACCGTTATCGGTATCCAATTCCCAATCTTCATACTGTTCAGAATCTCCAATAACATATGCAATTATTGAAGTTGCCAAAGTTATGAGGAACGCCACAACGTACACAATAGCTGCTGTTTTGATGACGTAATTATTGGAAATTTTATTAAATATTGTCACGAGTTTTCTAGACAAAAAGCACAAGATTGTAGATTTAGAAAAAATGGTTGTTTGATTTTTCATGGTAGGGCTCATAAATTTACTTTACAATACAGTAAGTATCTTTCAAATGGAAGTAGTGATAAATACCAAAATAAATTATTATGTGCTGAAAATATACTTTTCATTTCCTTTTTTGTAGCAGATTGTCTTCATGACAAAGAACTATGTTACGAACAAAAATCAAAGTATGAGAAGGTTTTTGGCTTTGGTGAAACGGGGCAAAGTTGTTGGTGAATATGTACATGCATATGTGGTCATTTCAAAGTTTGTAGCTCGTATACTGTAAACCAAATTAAGAAACTCACATGTACATTGTTACACATTCAGAAAACATCCATCCCCATGCTGATAAAAATGAAAATTGTAAAATTGATCCGACAACCATGCAAGAAATATAGTCACGTGGTCGTTCTACACCAATAAGAAAGGTCAAATAGCCAACAAGCAGGCAAGCGCTGAGATGAATCAAAATTTGATTGACTTGATTGGTGCGAATTTTCCTGAAACATGACACGATTATTATTATGAATATAAAAATGAATATGCATTTTATTTACACAGTTTATACAGATATACAACAGCCAGCCCTTGTAGAAAGGCCATATACCATATGCATTGTTGTTCATATAAATGTTTCTTTTCGTGAATCAAAAATCGGTAAAAATTTTGAATCTTCAAAATCCTTGATAAGCTCTGTATAGCTCACAAAATTTTGACTAGCAATCATCCATGTATAAAAAAGTTTTACTATACGATCATGATTGTCAGACATTCTCCTTCTAATACGGATGATGATAATACGAATACAGTCTAGAATCGTATTTCCATGCACATAATATCCAACGTTTTATATTAAAGTAAAAAGTCAACGTTGCTGAGAAGGGAACTGTTGTCTATACGTGATCAAATCCTTATTTGATTTCCAAAATAACATTGTTTTAATGAACTCAACACTTTAATACTAAATAGTGATGTGGCACCTAAAATTACAAATGCAAAACGATGAAATCAAAATGAGCATTTATCAATTAAATAATCTGAACAATTTCGTCGTCTATGTAAACGTCAGAGTCTATTACGACATCACATAGATAGTTAGCGTACACTTACTGAAAACCCAGATATATGATCAGTACTAGAATTAAAGCAACACTTGAGCAAGAACAGCCGATATATCCGACAATTTGAATTGCATAGCTAGACATCACATCGTGGGTTTGCTGAAATAAATAAATGAAAATCGTTTTGGGATTTTTGTGCTGAAAAAAATATGGAAAACTGATTCGATCTACAATTGCAATTGTATAGTAATAGTTCTACATTTCATCTATCAAATTTTATTTTTTTCCCAATGCCATGGTACGCCTAGCAATACTTTAAAAGTCTCCATGCTTGTTGTTAGTGAAAGCTGTACAAAAATTGGCCATTTTTTTTTAAATGGTAGCGATAATTTGCATTTTCATAGCCTTACACTTACACTGATTCGAACACTGAAAAACTTAAGTAAATCTTACCACAAGTACTGCGAAATTTGTCATATGATCACAAGTGCAAGATGTAAAGTTAGAATTTATAATTATTGTTTTGCAACCATTAAACTCCCAATCTCCTGTCGAAAGATTCAAATAAGAGCATCTTTGCGTAATGAAATTCTAAAATAAAATCAAAATTAGGTTTCTGCTGTAGGCTAACTAGTCTAATTTATTTTTAAATTCAATTTATCTTGAAGTTATTATAACAAAATAAAATAGTAATACTTCGACTGAAATATCTCGTATAAAAAATCTAATTGTGAATAGTACATTCTTTCTTATATTTAAATCGACAAATTAACCTTGAGAAAGGAAAAATAAATTTTGATTATCAATATTGAAGTATCGAAACATGTTATCTATTTATACATTATATATATTTCCGTGTTTATCATTCCGAGTCTGAATCGAATCAAGCGGTTAGATATATAGCAAATAAATAAAACAGAGAACTTTTTTAAAGGTTTATTTGGCTAGGCTTGCATTATTAGCTGTTAATGAAGATATTAAATCATCTCACTCTTTTAGATCTAGTATCCCTCGCAGGCAGATTGAACGATTGCTTAACAGGTTCCTTTAAATCGCGGAGTGTTGATTTTGAAATTTGCGAACTCAATACCTAAATTATAAAATGGTATTAGTGAAAATGATAAGTAATACATAAAACAACTGTGACGTGAATGAACACAATTTTCATGGTCTTTCATAAAGAAAAAATATTTAGGAAACAGGAGATCAATCCTAAAATATATAGACACAAAAGCAAAAACGAAGTAGTGTGGCCATGAAAACACTGTAGACTTCCGGTAGCGCAGTTTCTTCGCTTGATCACCAAAACGAACGCGGAACCACCACGAAGTGCGTAAATTAACTTGGATGAACGTGCACAAAAACGGATCCCATAGAGCTCACAAACATTTTCAAGAAATAGAAGTAAGAAAGTAAAAAACAATCTTTAACCACTGAAATTTTCCAAGCAATTAGTTCAGTGGTTAATGACTTCAAAAAAGCGAGTTTTTCAGTAATCAGTAATTTATTTAGTCACCAAGCCTATTTATTTCTTTACCAACCTTATGTAAGTACGAACTATACATACATGGGTTGAATGAAAAGAAAAAAAACGCATTCCAGGGTGAACAGAAACGCCAAAAACCAATTCTGGTTATCGAGCGGCAGCACCTTCGGGGAAGTCTAACAGAAACGTGATAAATATAATTAAATCGAACAAAATATATTATTCAATAAATAAAATAAAAAACGCAATGGATACGTCAAGGCGACTTGGTAATTACCAAAAAAAGAAAAGAAAATTTGGTAATTACCAAAAAAAGAAAATCGATTCCATGCACCACAGTTTAGGTAACCATGGAAATTATTAAGTCAACCAAACGGACTTGCAGTGTTCTCATTGCAGGTAAATAGTTAGGTAGGATATAGTAAAGTGCAACACACGTTCGATTGTGTGCATATGAGTGCCAGGATTAAGTTAAAACTGGATATCAAGATGACACAAATTGTAATACAGTAGTATAAAATACCAATCAAGTATACAAATAACAAAATATTGACACGTTATATGGGATTTACTTAGGGAAAATCTGGATACATATAAATTTGACCTTGTCGAAGAGTATGTGTTGTGATCACGCATTTTACTGGGCGAAACGAAATAATCGTCGAAGGTAACGGGCAAGTGGTTGCTATGAAACCGATGCATGTCCTTGGAAATCTCTAGTTGATAGGTACCAGCGAATTTTAACACCCTGGTCTTATAGTAGGCCTATAGGGTGTTTAAGTTAGAACGAATGGGTGCTCTAGAGAGAATTCTAACTGCTCTATTTTGTAAAACTTCTAAACTGTGCAACGCTGATTGGGTGGCGGAGCCCCATGCAGTTATAGCATACTGTATATTAGACTGGAAAAGGGCGAAGTATACGGTTCGGAGAGTTGAGTCCTGAACGTAATGTCTGAGCTTACCCAGAATTCCAACTGCTCTTGACAGTCTCTTATGCAGTTCAGTGATATGAGTGTTCCAATTTAGTTTGTCGTCAATAAAAAGCCCAAGATATTTGAAAGAGTGGACAATGTCGAGGGTGACATCTCGGATTTTAATTGAAAATTTATCATGTCTGGTTCGAGTTTTAGAACCGAACAACATGACATTGGATTTTTTACCATTCATTGTTCATTGCATATCATACATACACTTTGTTAATTTCAGTGTTACTGTTCACCTCGGCTTACAGTGAGCCTATTTCCTTTGCTCTGTCAAGCAGACAGGCATCATCGGCGAAAACTTTTTTCAAATCTAAAAAAGTACAACAGACGAATTTCCATTTGTCAAGTTTATCATAAGTAAATGAAGTAAGTCCAAAATAGCGTGGTTAGTCAAATGATTGCTTTGGAATCCAAATTGACATGTATTAATGTAGAAATTTTTCTAAAATTATGCCAAAAGAGGGTGGAATGGAAATTGGTCTATAATTTGAGGGGTCACTTCTTTTGCCATTTTTAAATATTGGTTTCACTCTGGCAATCTTTAACGATGAAGGAATAATATCTAAACTAAAAGATGAGTTGAAAAAATGACATAACGTTGGTGATATGATATCAGCGACTTGTTTAAGGAAGTAAGATGGAATGCCATCCGTACCAACTGCTTTTCCCTTTTTCAGGTTCAATATGATTTAGAGAATCTGCGTAGGTGTTGTTGGCTACAGAAAAAAAAAGAGTTTTGCAGTGGAACACCCAAAAAGTCGGTGGAAGAATTAAAGCTATGGGGGATGTGATTCGCAAGTTTCTTCCCTACTGTTGAGAAGAATTCATTGAATTCACTGGCCATCATTTTTCAGTCAAATTCTCCACAATAAAAGCCTTGGATAAGTTAGTTATAGATGATCGGTTAGTTAAGGTTCTGATGAAATATCGATTCTTGAGGATTTTGTTCCGTATCTTTCTGTTTGTGAATTTAGCGATGATTGGTTTGTGAATGTTCGAATCGTGGGTTGGGCTACGATGCGTGATAGAGATGCCAGATGGTTTGATGTCCACGCTGATCGATTTACCAACCTCCATCATTAGTTTATCAGTGTATTCGTTCACTAAAAGTGCAAGGACATGAAACTCTAAGTTGTCGAGTCTTGACCTCCTTTCTTGTTCTTCTAGTTTTTCAGTGGTGTAATACAATTCTTCATCCAAGTCATATACTAGTTTCTTAAGTCCACGTATATATTTTATCATGGGAGGTTATTTTTTCATCCATTGATTTTTGTTTAGCTGACAACTTATCAAACATGTCTGATTGAAAACTCTGGGTTTCCTTAATTGCGGCAATGTCTTGTTTTACCACTTTTAAAGACTGCATTTGGTCTTCTATGCATTTTTTAATTCCAGGACTCAATGGCGTGTAATCCGAGCTGGCGTTTGCTGGGTTAAAATTATCTTGAACAAACTTGGTTATCAAAGATGGAAGTAGCATCTCAATTTGTCTTTGAAGAATTGTTTCCTGCAGGTTTGGTGGAAAATTAAATGGTCCCTCTCTGAATGGGCAGTGATGCTGATTATGTTAGGAAATCTACTTCATTACCAGATCAGGTACCGCAGTCTACCATTCCCCATAAAACTTCCCAAAATCATATGCGATTACTTATCGGCAACTGTATCGGCGTACGGATAACGATAAATATATAAGTGTAAGTTTATTTCGACTCCATAATCAGCAGTAGACGATATAATAATAGATAAAAACAAAGAGAAAATAACTGGTTATAGAATAGGGAGAGCAAACAAAACCTCAAGAAGGTTTGAAGCGTACAGATTTTAGATGGAAAGGTATTGATAAAAAGAAGTAGTACATGTGCGCTCATCCATACAAGGGACTGTCATAGCTTTTCCAGGTACTGTGACGATAATCTAGTCTTCATGATTAAGTTTCAACATGAATTGAAATATTAACTGATTCGAGCCACTTCTGTATTACCAGATCATGTAGCGCCGTTTAGTGTTCCCATGAAATACTTTCCACTTTCGCTGAGCACGGGATTCGCCGATGTTCGCTGAGCACGAGATCCGCTGATATGCGTTCGGGCACCGCCACAAGGTGTGCAAATTTTAATGACGCCATAGCACACAAAAATCACATATAGCTCACAGAAATAATTGGAATGAATAAAAGTAATAGCCTTCCAGCGAAAAATACAATCTTTAACCACTAAAAATTTCAAAGCAATGGATCCAGTAATTCGAGAGAAGAGCGATTTTTTCCATTATATAACGATACGAAGAAGAATAAATAATGAGGAATAACAACATAATATTAAAATAGAGCAATGCTCAAATATACGGACACGTTAATCAGAGAGAAACTGTCCTTACCTTTGACGCTACCGGTATCTACGTCGCTATCCGCCATTCCCCGTTATCCTAGCAAAGCAGGAATTTCGTTACACACCACCGACGTTTGATGAGCACGTGATCAAAAGAAGAAGAGTGCCAGCATAAAAGCGACTTTTTACGTTTTACACTAGGTGTCCAAAAATTAGTAAAACGATCCATAGGTCCACTCCGTGTTCAATAATAAAAAATAAAAGTAATAGCCTTCTGGCAAAAGAAAACATATTTAGCCAACACCTCGTGTCTAAAAATAAAAAAAATATTGAACGTCTCACTTGATTAACTTTCATACTATCTTTAGACGTGTTTGGAAACAGCGTAGCGTCTTTGTGCAAATAAAACACTGCATTTTTCTTTCCTGCGCTATTTGGTATAGCATATTTTGGAATGTAGGATTTGGCGCTTGGTTGGAAGGTGTCGTTATTTGATATTGAACCATGGAAGACTATTGGGTCATCAGTTGAAAAGTTGATCTTTTGAGCCTACAATGCAAACATATTCTTCGATAAGGTTAAGAGAAGGAATGGAAAAATATTAAAGAGAACACTGGTTAAAGGGACATTTGAATTACCTGAAACAGATTAGTTTCTGACATTTTTGTAAATACTTCATCGACTAGTACAAGATTTGAGCCATAGATTTCCAACGTTTCCAAAAGCAATAGTTTTTCATCTTGCGAAACCTCCAATTGATCCCCGGATATTCCGTGCTTCACGGTACTGTGTATATCATCCATGATCCACAATAAAGAAACTATAGCTTCTTCAGTTATCTGAATAATGTATTAAAGTTGATAACATAACATAAATCGGTTCATCAACAAAATTGTGATAAAACTTAAGCATTAACACGACGTTTCTTGATGAGTGTATTTATTTGAATTAATGCTAAATTGGGTATTATTTGAGTGTTTGTAAAACGGTTTATCATCTTAGCAATATAAAATGTTCACAGCTGCTTACGTTGTAATTTTATGATATAATATCATTGACGATTTATAGATTATGGTTCATGGAAAGTGGAAATAATCCACTTCGATGAAACAAGAAAACAACAGGTCGGACTAACTATAGATGAATAATTTAATGATACGGCAGTCAGTGCCGTTTATATCGAGTCATAAACAAAACTAAAGCAGCGAGTGGTAGTTAGTGAGAATGGTAATTCACTTCATTTTAATTGCAAATTAGCTGACTACTAATCACCCACTGTCAAATTTCGTGAGTCACTCCTGTTTCGATTTCTATGCAAGTTACTTCCGGGTAAGGTCGCTAATCATCGCCTTATATGATTCGCAAGGATTCGCAAAACACTGCGCCTTGGTGATGCTGAATTTACGTACATCAAAGCACAAAATATTTGGCTTTTTTAATAAAATTATCTTATTGTTATAATATTCATATTCATACGACTCAATGTGTTTCAGTTACTTTGATCCCTTCAAGAATCGATATTAATCGATCAATATTAATGATAAGAAAAAATATTACGGACAATTATTCCTATTTGCATATTTCTGTCAAGTGAGAGGGTCATTTGCTATTTCATTGTTTTATAACACGTACATTAATGTTGTCATTCTTCGTAGCTTGCTTCAAAACTTCCAAGACTTGAATTGTTTTTTTAATACTTTTGCTTGTTTGTTTCGATGACACAGCACTGAGTACGCCCATAGTTGACTCCAAACGAGAAGGTGTGAGACCCGACATTTTAGCCTTACATCAGTTTTAAACATTGAACAATAGTTTTATTTATGTTTATCAAAGAGCAGGAGAAATGACAATAATAATTTTTCAAATGAAAATTACACCTAATCGGTTAAGAAACTCAAAATACATAAAGTTAGATATGATTCAAATTATGATATGACATAAACATTTTTACATTCACTTATCTTTGTTGTTAATACGTTTCAATTGATTAGAAAATGAATAAAACTTATTGGTATAGGGAACTGGAAAGCTAGGTCGTCTTACCGTTTCAATTAGACTGTTTACGTCAACTTCGCAGGGGTGCTCTTCTAATGTCTTGATATCGAACGAACCCGATAAACTTCTGCTGTTTGAGACGATGCATTTTACGGTAGCAGAGTAATCTTAGAATATTATTTAATCAAGGTTATCATTTGTCTATCACTATAGTGGCACCACTAAATGACAATAAAAGATGTTTATATGATGCACAACTTTTGGTGGGAGGAGGTAGTTTAAATCGTTTTTAATTTGTTTATATAGGTCTAGGTGAATATTAGGTTAACAATATAACACTCACTAAAATTTGCACAAGTCTCTAACGAACGTGACGGTGTATTTCCTTCAGTAGTTGGAAAATTGTATACCATTGTAGAATATTTCAAGGATTGAATAGTCGCTTGAAGGCAGTATGATTTCAACTGGGGATCTGAAAATTTTACCATTAATTGCTCGTTAAAACGATAAATGTACGTATGCATGAATATAAACGTTTTTTCTATATACACGGTGAAGCTAAAAACAACTTTGTAATATATAATTAGATGAAGTAAATAGTTACGAACTCTGAAATATTAGCGACCTAATATTATCACATTGAAAAAAAAAATGTTATATCAACAATTAACGAAGATGTCCACATTGAACATTCAATCAACTGTCAAATAGAACGTGACTCTTCTTACTTTTTGTGACGAGTGCTGTTGTAGATTGTAAACTTGTTGTTGTAGTTGGCTGCGTGGGTTTGATAAACTCATTTTGATTCTCAATGTATGTGTGAGTGTTACACAAATCGGAGTTACAAAATCCAAATTTACAAATATCGGGAGAAAATATACTCCGAAGATCTCGAATGATGGTTTTGGTAAATTTCGATGTTATAACACTGATAGAGGAGCGCGTTGCATCGGCAAATGAAGTGTGACTAGGTGATGTTGAACTAAAATTGAAACTCCATTCAACGATTTCTTTGGCAAGTTGCTTAACGTCATTCGGGTCCATTACCGACATTAAACGCATGTACAATCCATGGTCCTGTGAACTAGGAAATGGGGTTTTAGAAATCGAAGTGCTAATGTTGTAAATTCTAAACATCGCAAAATCTACATCTATAATAAGGTATAACGACCTCAAAGTAAGAATTTTTTGGTGTTCTCGAAAAGTCCAAGCATGAGTTGGCAAAAACATATTCACCAGACTGTCAATAAGCTGTTGAAAAATAGCAGGAAATTCGGAACCAGAAAAGTATTTTTTGTATGCTACGATGAACGTGCTGTAGGATTTGACCATATATGTTGCATTGATAAATTTTTCAAAGAAAGTCTTATTCATGACAAATTGTAGATTATCCAGAAATGGCTGAACTTCTTGAGGAATTTGTCCACCCATTGCGATAGTTAAGTTTGAAATAATTTTCCCGGCATCAAAATTCGGAAAATGCTGAAATCCATCAGTGAGAATTTGAAAGAAATCATCTAACTGAGTCGTATAATTAGAAAATAGGTCATAAAACATTGCTGATAAGTTAATAACATATGCACGTTCTCTTGATGTATTAAAGAAGCCATTCCCTATTACTCGTGCAAAGCTCAGAACAAAGTTACTCAATTTTGTAGGTTTAGCTGTGTCATCCAGATTACTGAAGTTGAATGATTTGAGCCCGTTTTCTATTTTGCGATACGTCTTTTCTAGAAGCAATTTATCCGATGGAACATATTTATAGAAAAAACCTGGCATCCACTCTAATGTAGTTTTGAATTCATACGGTATTGTCCAATGAGCGGCTTTGCTGATGAAATGTGTAAGTGCTACCCCCAGAGCTTCGGTCGCATTATTCCTTTGAGTGTAGGCTTCCAACAAGTCAAGATACCAAGTGATGAGAGAAGTGGAATTTGGATAAGACAATTGATGAAATAAATCTGGTAAAGCGTTTAATACTGGATCTATGACCTTTGACACTTCCTCGGGAATATTGTACGCTGATCTTATGATCGATATGGAATCTGCTACACTTTTCTTTGGCTGGGTGGTATTAATGTTTCCTAAAACATCGAAAATCACATAATACCATAATGATAAATTTGAGTTGATCGGGAACATTGATTCTAATAGTCCCGGAACTTTCTCGACGGAATTTTTTACGATAATATCTGTTTTAATCGATATGTAGTATTCTTTAGGGAAAAAATTCTCCATAAACTTGAAAATGTGACGTGAGAATCTCGCGTTGTCTGTGTCAAGATCGCCTAATTCAATGAAAAATTCATATACTGTTGAATTAGTCGTTACCCAATCCGACGCATTGAAAAGCGTAGTGATCAATTTGCTCAAAGATGATTGTAAAGGTTTAAACTTTATCATGTTGAAACCGATGTGTTCCATGAACTTGACAAAACCTGATACAAATTCATCTATATTCTCCCCTCTTGACAATAATTTCGTGATTTCATTCATCCTTCCATATACAAAATCCAGATATAAATCATTGAGGCGTTTCTCAATATCTGGAACCAAATTTAATAGCTGAGAAGGGTCAACGGTACTTTCTGGTCCAAACATATCTTCACAATTCAGCAGGTTGGCATAAGAACTTGTAATACACGCGCCATATCTCAACTCCACATTTCCAAGTGCGGAAATCCTGGTTATTAAAACTTGTCCAAAGCATTTGCTAAAACTCGTACAGTTTCGTTCAGACCAGTGATAAAGTGGAATTCCTCCCAATGATACGTTGAAACCCTCGTTACATACCAGAGCGTTAGTAGTTGCGTATGACGTGGCATGCAATATTACCAGTAATATCAAAACGACCTTCATTCTGTTTTCTTTGTAGCAAATTAAATTTTACCGCACACAGTAAAACGTAATAGATTGAAACTTTACATTCTAATCAAAGTTAGTTATGCTAGATAAAAAAACACACACAGGCACGTTCAAAAATCTATAACATACATGACGTAAATAAACAGGTCCCCTTTGAGCTCTTGCAGTACCACTAAAGCTTAACTGTATTGGATTACTCCATTGCTGAGTTTCTAAAATTGGGGATTCCAACACTTTTCTCACAGCCTGACTACGTTTACCGGTATGTCTATTTTACTTCTATTATAATAAGCTTGTCATTTAATTTTGGGCTTCGCGTTTGTCTACTTGTGGATTGTCTACATTTGGATTTTATCTATTACGAGTTCGGGGAGTAGCCAGGTTACTCCTGTAGTATTTGTACCCGAAATTATGCCCTAATCTAACCTGGTACACATACTACGTTCCGGTGTCCGCCATCTTAGTTCACATACTTCGGGGGTAACCATTATTTCAGAATGCTGAATTTTGTTTTCGCTTTCGCAATGAGTATCTCCAGAATGCCGAGTTGATGAGTGAATGCTTTCTATAAAACTGTAAACCTCGGCGGATATGAGTACCCAAATATTTAGGAACAATATATAGGCATAAATTAGTATTAACGGCGAAATAAATTTAAGATATGGGCCATACAACAAAGTTAACAGACGGATATCCTTTGTTCCATCAAATTCAGTTCACGTTTTTGTATATTTTTAATGAAAAATCATAATATCATAGCACGATTTAAATTGATTAGTGCAAAACATAATTTATAACATGTTCTTGGAATGATATACTTGCCTAATATTTTTGTTGTATTATATTATATAGGATATCATATATATCCGGTACATACTTCATTTCTCAGTCAGAAGCCAGTATGATATGGTGTGCCCAACAACAAATGGGTATATATCAGCATTGCTTGTGATGTATATTAGAGATGTACCGATACCACTTTTGTCACCGATACCGATCCGATACCAACTCAAAACGATGATACCGATATGTCGATATTACAAAATGACCGATATTCCAATACTATGTAAATATTGCCTCACGTGTGCAGGGCAGATGCACTAGTCTTTGAGCATTATTCATGCTACACATTATTTCAGATTGAAAAAGGATATAATACATCATAAGAAATTGATGTTTGGGATTCAGGTGCGTTAAATAATTTCGATGCATTGTATACTGAAGCTAGTAATCTCGGTGTTCAATTAGAAAACTCATAGGCAGGGATGTCCAATTCAAAATTAATATTAATAACGCGACCTTCGAATATCGCCCACACATCGTAGAGACGCCGTCCACGTTTTACTTGAAAACATTTCACATATATTTCGTTTTATGTTTTATCGTAATCGTGCGTCGCGACAATAGTTACAGCCGACATGAGTGGATTTCAATCAGCGCTGGCTAGAAATACCTATAACACGTCGAGGATGTTTCTGATTTTATTATTTCATAATATATCGCAAATATTATCTTATACTTCGAGATAGTCTGGGCGGCCACGCAATAAATATATGAGGAAATCGTATAGTTAAACAAAATCAAAATTAATGGAATCACAATAGTTAATACCTGTGTAGAGAGATAATTGAGTCGGAATTTAGCTTAAAGATGTCGATGGACTAAATGACACTAGCGCTCAACGATATACCGTAATGCTTATTAAGTCTACTTTCTTAGAGCAATATCATTTATATCACACTTGCCTTATGACTGCTTTACAATGATAACATTATAAAAGCATAATTTATATGTTTTATTTTAGAAAAGTAAATTGTATTTATGAGTTGGATTATACAATGTATTCGGAATTTTAGTATCGAAAATAGTTTTAGAATGTATTCGAAATAGTCGATGGGTATGGCCATCCCTGCTCATAAGGTTTTGCTACCAGTGTGGTGAAATAAATAAATGTTTAGCATACTTATTCTATCAAATTGATACATTGAGTTACGTGCGCAAGATTTTGTTACAATACAACAACATATTTTGTATTTCAAACATTAGAAATACACTAATATTCGATTGATATATTTATTCATAATTGCTATGTAATATAAAAAATATCAATATAATAATTTGGCAGTAAAGATAGCCAAATTAGTTGAGCGTTTGGCTGATAAATAACTAAGGGAAGGTCAGAATCCCATTCTCGTTTCTACTCGCTGGGGTGGGGACGCGTATGGCTCATAGTTCACGATTCCCCCAAGCAAAAAAAATTTAAACATCAGTATTCCAACTCATTTTTGATCATATCAAAAAGGTAAACATATCGGAAATATCGATCTTCATTTAGCCGATACCGATACACTACCGATACCGAAAAATTGGCCGATATTGCCAATACCGATACATCGGTTAGGGATGGGACGAGTCCGGCATTACAGAGATTCGACGAATCCGAGTAATAGGTCAAGGACTCGAATCGAATCCTCCGAGTCCGTGACGTCACAATGTAAAAGTAGAAAAACACGTTTTTGACCATATTACAGCATCGCGCGCTCACAAACATATGTCGTAGCTCATATTTTTTGCCTAATGGTTCCGCAGATAGCTGTTGGATCAATTTAGAAATATATTTTTATTTTTTTTCGGCGACCATAATACAACCGTAAACGTGGGTCAATATGCGCCTTGGCTGTAAACTGGATTTCCAGCCCACCACCTTGCGTCAATTCTGGGCGGCTATTCATAAATTCTTACATGTCAATATGAAAAATAAAAAGCTTTTGACTACAATGCTTCCCCATAATTCCAGATATTTCTAGCCTTAAATTTACTGTGTGGCGTGCGCAAATGGTAGAGAGATGCCACTCGTCGTCAACACAATGATTGCAATTTAGTGGTTCATGTAAACGTTCTAAAACGCTCCATGCTTTCCATTGCTCCCTTTTTATAGAAAGGATTGCACGTAATAAACTCGATTTAAAAGAGGTATTTATGAGATTCCCCATTGAGTTGATCCAGAGCTTGCTTCATTTTTACGCGAATCGAAAACTCAAAAATATTGCGCTAACACATATTTTATTGTGTACCAAAAATGATAGATAGTTTGAAGGCAACTGGCGCAACATCATTGTTATAAGCGATCAATAGTTTTTAACATGCGTTATATTATCTGGATATCCGTTGTCGCTTTTATTAGAAGTGTTTATAGTACACGTGAAGGATATTGTTACAGAATAAACCTTGAATTTTAACTCGTTAAGATATGTAGTGAGATTTATAGAGGCAAAAGTACGAATATAGGCGTAAATTAGTAAAAACAGAATTGATTAAAGACTCGGTAAAAATGACGTCCGAGTCCGGATCCGAATCCCGGCCCATCCCTAACATCGGTACATCTCTTATGTATATATTATTCAGCTTGTTGATATGATTAAATATATCTATTTCTTCTTCTTTAGTTGGCCATTTTCAAGTAGATTTTTTAATCAACTAACTCGCTTATGATTTTCATGTAACTAATAATTGTGATTAATATAAGAACGAGAATATCGGTTGGAAACCGAAGACTTATCGATCGATAGTTAGGGGATCCCCCAAAACAGAAACTGCAGTTTCGATTCATCCGCTCTTGTAACTTGCGCACTGCGCATCGCACACACACACTCGGCGGGTCTCAAAATTCTCTCGCTTTACAAAAATCTAGATCACTATATCAATAATTGATTGATAACTCGCTAATTATACGACATAATTCGCCCAAAATCAATAGTTTTCTGGTCCGAGATAAGATGAATGCACATGCAAAATTTGGAGCAGATTCAACCTCGCCATCGGGAGATATCGCGTTCATCTAACAGACAGACACACAGACAGACATACATACAGACAAATACCTATCAATATACTTACCGATCTTAAGATCGATAAGTAATGACTGATAAGTTACGTGAACATTTCAAGTATTACTGGTAATGAAGCTCAACGGGTCAAGATGTTAATAACGCACAAACAAGAAATATTTGCACGTTCAAATATATTCTATCGGTAACATGGTGAGGGTGATAAAACGAAAACGCTATCTGTTGAAATGACTTCAGTTTAATTTTTTCAATTCTTATTTTGCCTAATGCAGTGGTTTCAACCTCTATGGTGTAGCTAACCACTAATGAAACATTATGAGAGCTCGAAGTACACTTGTACAATAGGGTAATTGTCGTTCATCATCTAAAAGGTTGTATAAACTATAAATTTATAAAAAGAAATTCATACTGACAAAACAAAATGTTTCCGATGTTTCTCGCAGAAATGACTTAACTTGACTTATACGTATATACACGGACGTCATACTGAAAAACCCTTTAAATTTTCCCGGTACGTCATGAATGCTGTATAAAAATAGCTGATGTGAGATTAGTGGAACGTCCAAATAATTTTTATCGCTATCGCGGTGATATTCTTAAATAGATGGAATAGTTACATTTTCATTTCATTCCTACCTATATTACACTAATCCCGTGGAAAGTACCCATTCTGTCTTATGCGTGAATCACCTCACATGCAAAACATACATGGGCATCGGTACTGACGAACACTTGGAAACTTCCCGATGCATCATTGATGCTATTAATTTAGATGAAGCGAGCGCGTGCATGAATTTTATACCAATACGGGGTAGCAGCTATCCACGCAACTAACGTTTTTTTTTTCTGCAGTAAATCCAAATAAACAAGCGGAAGAAGAAAGAAACGTCCGACATAACTATCGCTGTAACATCCTGTTATCAATGAATATATATGACTCAAATAATAAAAAAAAAAACTTAAATAAAGTCATGCAGGAGTTTGTATGAGCTTGTATTTTGAGATGTGTAGTTTGTCCTCTCTTTCGCTTTTATTCTTCTACATATTTTCATACAATAGAATAATCATGTATCGGGTGAATTACCTGTTTTGTTTACAATTGCTGTTTATTTGTTTGTTTTGCATTAAATAGGTAAAAACAATGAA